TTTCCAATGTCGAGCAATGACCCTCACCTTCGGACGTCCCATCCATTTCCGTCGGAATCGACGTGGACTCACAACCGGACGACAATCGAAAGCGATACTACTCGGCGCCGAGTTCTGTCGCGACCTTGAACTGCTTGGAGATTACGAGGTCGCTGACCCGACAGCGGAATCGCTAGACGGTCGATCGCCTTCCTCCGTGAAATTACGCTCGTCGTATCTCGAACGAGTATGTCCCGTTGCCTGACAATTCATCTCTGCATTTTGATAACGAAGCGATTTCGTACATGGTAGCCTGGAGCGTGCTGGCGCGTTATATTAAAGTTCGTCAGGTACAAGGCCACATCGACCTCATCGAACTATACCCAGCGGAGCACTTTGATTTCATAATTTCTGGACATGCTGTGTTTTAGCACATTCAGTCCAGTATTGCCGATGGAATTTTCAAACTGGTTATTTGTGTTGCGTGTTCATGTGCATTACACTATTGACGGTATTCGCGATTCAAATTTGCTAAATTTGGTATGCACCGTCGAGAGAATGCGTTTGCGCTGTCGCGAGCCGCTCTCGCATTTCCATCAATTGGGATCGACTAACTGTAATTGAACGATGTATTTTATTTCCAATATCTCCGGGGCGTATCGTATTGGTCACTGTGTGCGTGCGCGCGCGCGCGTGAGAGAGAGAGAGAGAGAGAGAGAGAGAGAGAGAGAGAGAGAGAGAGAGAGAGAGAGTGCGCCTGACGTTTGTCGCGTAATCACGAACCAGTGGTTACTATTCCATTCCTCGCGATATTCTTTTTTTTTTTTTATGAAATATGTTTTTTATTTAGTGTCACGAGTCAACGTAAACATCGTTAAGGTTTACCTAGAAAATCTGGAATATTTCTATTCTAGATTATTTATTACTTTTGACTTATTTTTTACTTTTGAAAATCAGAAATTTTTAAGGAATTTTTAAGGAATTATTGTGACGGAAAATTTTTGGAATTTTTCTTTTAAATTTAAATTCTGTCTCTTTCTGAAAACATTGTTTCTTTAATCATTTTTCATTCATAATGCAAAATATTATTGACAATCAGTTAATAAATATGATACACATCCATATTCAAATGTATATATATATATATATATAGATATCTGGTATATATATTGTATATATATTAGAGAGTGATAACAGAAGACTCAGAATAGAATATTAAATTCATTGAATTATGTTGTAATGAACGTTCTTTTTATTATTTTATAGGTTTTGCTCCTTCCAATTGTAGAAAATGATAGATTTATCTTGGAATTATTTTCAACTAATTTTTAAATAGTTCGTGTTGCATTTTAATTTATTTCAAAGTTGCATAAAAAAATGTCTAATCTTTAGAAATAGTTAGATAGTTTTAAACAAAAATACCTTCAAAATACTGGGAATATCTTCAAAAATACCTTTAGAATACTTTTAGAATCCTTAGGGAATTTTTTAAAATGAGATTAGTAAACACACTCGTTCTCTATCTTTCCTAGCATGAACAACAAAAACAGAATGATACTTGTGTCGTTTTTGTTATTCATGCTAAGATTTGTGTCACTAATTAATGGAAAACACTCACAGATACGTGACATTTCGCGCGGCAAATTTAGCTGATGGTTATGAATTATCATTTCGGTCTCTTTGAAGTTTTGTGATTCAGCTTGTACGTTTCCTTCGTTCGTGTTCCGATAAAAGCGCGGCAGGTTCGAGCGCGTTGATTGTTATCCGACCGGAATCTCAGGCAACTTAAATCGCGTAATTTGCATTCGACGGACGGTACAACCCTTTTGCAGATTTCGCGAAGGAGTGTGGGTTGAGAAGGCGGCAGTACGGCCCCCGCCTTTCTCATAACCTCGATCGTAAATAACCGCCCGTAAAACCCCGTCCCAGTTTCGCGGCGGTGAAACGATGTCGGTGCGCGGCGTGCTCAGCTTTCCTTTCCGCCGAACGGATTCAGAGAGAAAGAGGAAGAGAGAAGGAGTGGAACAGAGAGAGGGGGAAGAAGAGAGAAGGAGAGAGAGAGAGAGAGAGAGAGAGAGAATTATTGTAATTATTCTCAGAGTATTCGATCTATCATGATTTAATCTTTTGATGCTCAGTGATCTCGAAGCAATATTTTTGAGCTCTCCTCTTGTAGGATTTTGTGTATATTTTTATTTGATAAACCTATTAGTGATCTATATCACAGAGAGTAGATATGTTAGCGATACTGATGTTTTTGTACTCGTTTAAACTGTTTACGTATATATACGTTAAATCTGTATTAGGGTGTACCCAAAAATCTGGGTACAGTCGATCAGCTTTGAAACTATACAGCTTTTATATGAAACATTTATTTAAAAAAAATGTTTTTGAGGAAAATGTTTCACACAAAAGGGTGTAAGGTTTCAACAATGCATCAAACGAGAATACTTTTGATTTGATTCTGAGTGTAAGAGGAGCTCTCAAAAGGTCAATTTTAATAATGCTAATGCCGGCGACATTTGAACTTTGTCAATTCATAAAATGCTCGAAAAATGCTTAACCAAAGGGAGTTTTATTACAGTGTTCTAAAAAGATCTCGACGTCAGCTATAATAATATTGAATAAAAGTAAATAGAAGTTCCTATTTAAAATTTTAAGGTTGACCTTGGGAATTCTTACACTCAAGGTTAAATAAGTATCTCCGTTTGCATTGTTGAAATTCTACAACTTTTATATGAAACATTTTTCTGAAAAATGTTTTGTTTATAAGATATTCTGTATCCAAATTTTTGGCTCATCTTGTACATATCGGTTTAGCTTCTTTTATATGCGAAAAATCGATTTCGATCCAATGTTACTTGAAGAGATATTCATTTCCGCATGATTGTACGCCGCGCCGTTTCTCGCTTTTTCGCAACTTAAACTCAATCGGAGGAAGAGAAGGCAGGCGCGGCGCGTAGATTCCGCATGAATAATTGAACGCGATTTTGCTGCCGTGAATGAAATCGAGGCGTGGCCGTCCCCGCCGGCCGGCCATACGGTCGATCGCGAGAATCGAGCCGCAATAAACGAGCTACTGCCAGAGGCGCGAGGAGAGCAATCCGCAAACTTTTCCTCTAAAACTGCGAATTGAGATTTGCGCGTGAAACTCGCACAGATAAATCGATTCAGAAACGCGTAAAGTGTATTGCGCAAAAATACAATAAGTCAAATGAATCATATACGTCTTAATTAATCTTCTTCTTTAAGAAATTTATAGCTCGTTTTCGAAATTTTTCAGAACAATAGAGCAAATAGAGTTCTCTGGCATTATGTCTCTAAAAAGTTTCAGAGAATTTTTCATGCACTTCAGAAAAAGTTCTGGCGATTAAATCCATTAAAAATAGATTTAATTTAATTAAGACACCTTGATTGGATATGAAAGGAGCAATGAAAAAAACTTAATTTTTTGATTAGATAATTTTGTTATTTTTAACTTCCACATATATTAATAAAATATATTAATATATTAATAAAATAATATATTAATCGATTTCTGCAGTTAGTTTCGAAGTAAATAATACCCAATATTAACATATGTTCGTTTAATAAATAATAAATTAAATTTGAGTCAAATTTAATACATTGTTTGAGTTAAATTGTTCAATTGTTACTTTTTTAGTAAATTATAATGACTCGAGTAGTAATAGTGGCGACCTATAATAATGATTAAAAATGATTCAAGTTGGATATATAATTTGATATCATGAATTGTATTATAATATATTGTATTTGTGTTCTATCAAATATCTGAATCAAATATTTGATTTAGATTAAGAAAGCTTTATAAATACGCGCGTGTATGAATATTGTATACCGGTGCACATAAGAAGCATCCAATCCACGTGCTGTTTCATATATTCCGGACAGGTACCGAGCACTTTTATTCCGCTATTCTCGCGGTTCATCTCCTGCGCTCATGAATTTCGAATACGGTGGATCAGTAACTGGGTGAAAACGGGAGGAGGAGGAAGAGGAGTGTGGAGCAGAGAAGATCGGGAGAGAAGATCGGGAGAAAGAGGAGAAAATAAAAAGGAAAAAGGCCTGAGGGGATCGCGTGTTGGCCGACCATTAAGCATTCCTCTTACTCGGTTATATATGCCACATATTAACACCGGGATTTTCACTTATATTGACTCCTTATTGCTTCATATTCCTTCCCCATGAGAAGGTGACACTGAATGAGTTTATCTTCCATCAACGGAATAGATTTCTTTCTCGTTTTACGATCGTTCACGACGTAACTTCGTAATAAATCGATGGACTTCTTCGTCGAGTGTAATCAAGAATCACATTCTTGGTGAGTATTCCTCGCTGTCTTTCTCGATAAAGAATGCACCTCAGGTCGTGTTGATTTTATTGTCAATTCACATCGGTGACGTTGTGAAAATTATGAAACTTATACAATGAGAAAAAAATTTTGAAAAAAAAAACAATCAGAAAATTCTGATTTGTCTATTTTTAATCAGAATTCCCATTAATACAATAAAAGATTTTTTTTCCTTCGTTTTTATTTAATGTGTTATAAAAATGAAACTAACTACTCTTTAAATTCTTTGAAATGGAATCTCACTCTAGCTGTAAAGAGTGAAAATTGAACTGATCTTGAAAAACTCAATTTTCAATTTTTAGAGTAACGTTTTACTTTTTAGAATAAAATTCACTGTAAAACTTTTCAGAGAATATACAAAACTCAAATAAAATGGCGAAATTACGTAGGTAAAATAGTTTTATATAAATTTATATATCAAGTAATTAGTAGAGATATAATAAAATTAAACGTTTTATGTGAATTTTTTGCACATTGCAAATAGCACATAGACGAAAATTTCGGTTGACCGATTAGTGTTTCGAAAGAAAACTTGAAAAATTTTTTTGTGCCTTATAACATTTTTCAACAATCCACTTCGCACGTGAATTATCCGGCTATGCTCGGAACGAGAACTTTCGTCTAAAAGTATACGTATCTTTATTTTCAGCCCGACGAACTCTGTCCCTCAGAGAGCCCCGTGAGTGAAAGGAAACGCGGAAACGGAGCTTCCCTCTGGCAATTACCGAGACGATTTTTCACGTCGCACGGAAAGCAGAGCTTGGGGATAAGGATCGACGAATGGGAATTTATACGTGAGTAAACATACATATCGCGTAAATACTGACGAACAATAAAAAATGATATATCGATATTATCAGCTGTGTATGAATATGTCGAAAAGTCATATAAATTGTATATATTCTCTAAATCTTTTGAAGTGAAAATTGAGCTAGTTTTGAAAAAAGAGTAAAAACTATTCACTCTTGAACAAGAGTGGCAGAGTTTTACTCTTTTGGAATAAGATTTTATTCTTTTGGAGTTAGATTCATTCCAAAGGAATCGCTTCTTTTTTTTTTTGGAAAGAGACTTCATCCTTAGAGTGACTTTCATTTCAAAAGAGTGAAATCTTACTTCAAAAAAAAAAAAAATCTCATTTTTCTCTTCTATAAAGAGTGAAAATCTGGCACTCTTGTTCAAGAATGAAAATATTTTTACTCTTTTTTTCAAGACTCAATTTTCAGTCTTTTGAAGTGTGTGAGATTTCATTCTAAAAGATTTAGAGAATATGGTGATTGTTATATGCGATTCTATAATAATCTTTTTATAAATATTTTTTTTTTATATTAAACATTAACGCGTTTTTTTTTTTAAATATGCAGTTGTTTATGAATTGAGAATTTCATGCCTTTAACTCGATGAATTATTAGTTTTTGCTTTAGATTGAAACATGAAGAGATTTATTTGCATATTCTATTCGCTGTGTCGCGTTATAGCGATACATGGCGATTAATTCCCGTTTAACAACGATAATGGGGTCGTCGTTGATTCATTTTGTCGTGCGGTATTATAAGTGTTCGAGCTCGAGTGGTGCTAAAAAATAGTGCGCTTAACGCAATTAGGCTTGTCTCGCGCAGAGCCAATGACCTTGTTACCGATTGAATGCAATCAGACGGCTCTGCGACTGTGCGAATGGCATGATTTGCAGTTTGTGCAAACGTTTAACACTTTTGTATAATTTCATTAATAATTCGTTCTTTCGTATGATCTGTATATCGCGATATGTAAATTGATTTGACTTATTGTTAGCATTGAATTGCAAAACGGTAGCAAAAGTTTGAAAAATCGAACATTGTAATCGATAATTTTTATATCATACTTAATTATTACAAAATAATTGAAAACATCATTATTTTTGAATGTTTACAAATAAGTTAACTCTCAGAATAAGGAAACAAATAAAATACTGTAGTATACAATCATGACACACAATACATTATTTTTCTTATATTTCTCTCTTCAAAAATAATGAATATTTTTCTGCTTTTGCGACTATGTGTTCAATTTTAATATTTAAAAAAATTATCGCAATATTTTGCAAATATTGAGGCATTAAGCCTATTGAGGCATTTATCCCAAATATCAGAGTTCACAATTACGGAACGTTGACATTTTCAAATATCACTAAAAAAAAAAAGAAAAAAAAGAATTTCTACTCAAAGCTCAATCACATTGCTATGCTAATGCCAGTCGTTGAAGAGTTATATGTGATATTATATAAGTTGTAGTATGTGTGAATATATACGAGGTAATAATTGTTTAGTTGCTGGAACTAAATAAAAGTCTTTTTTTTAAAGAGTGAACATAATGAAAGAAGAAATACTGTATTATAAAAAAAATTATTTTTATTAACATATTAGTATACAATATTTAAAACATACATATATGTATAAACTTGTAGCAATAAATACAAAAAATGGCTACTTTGGTTATTATAGTGATACATATTTTCGGAATGATGATCATTTAATAATAACTGAGGATTATTGAAAAAAAAAATCACAAAATATAATTAGCCATGCAATCAAATTTTTAATGTTTATATAATATTTATTTTTATAGATTTATAAATATATTTTTTGGTAATTAAAATAATAGATTTTTTGCAGAGTGATGTTTCATTAATCTCATTTTGTTTATTTATTATTATAAACTAATAAGAATAATGGCTATTTAATAATCTCTTAATTGTACCACCTCGTACAATTTATAAACTAATTTTTTATCCAATTTTATGATGATGTGCGCAAAGTATGTTTAATATCTGTCTGAAAAACTTTTGAATTTCACATGACTAGTGGAAAATGGAAAACAACATAAAAACTTTTTAGAGAAAAGCCGAAACTCTATTAATTACTGAAATTTTGAAAATGGGATGACAACTTTACAAAAGTAAACAACATAATGCGGTTACAAACATATATATCCATGCTTGCCATGTATGCGAGTAGTTTTTGAGAAAATCCAACAATAGATGTTCCGTATTCCAGAAACTTTCCCAGTTAATATGTAAACTCTTTAAAATTTTTTATCACAACAAGTTTATGTGTGCGTGTGTATATGAATAATACGTAAATTTCCTGATAGTGGTCATTCAACGATGAAATACATGATTTTGACGAACTTTGGAAACGCGATTGAACTTCAACTTTTGAACTTAATATCGTATTGAAATTAAAAATCGAAGCATTAATCTGTCGTTGGTTAGTAGCATCGTTTTTCTATCCGTTTCAGTAGATTAATGCCTATTAGTATCGTTTATTAACATTGCAATTCCGTTCGTCGTTCTCATGCATTGCGTTATTATATGTAATTGACAGGTGAACTGATTAATCGTATTGCAACCGCAGTCCGATTAATAATAAAAGCGAACTCGCGTTGTGACCAAAATTAAATGAAACTCATTAATTTGTTTTACATTTTCGCGTTGTATTTATGATGCATGATCGACAATCGTCCGAGTGAATTCCAGATATCGAGAGGAATGATGAACGGGAGGTAGTGCGTGCACGTTGATGCGCGAGACAGAAACCGAATAATATAAATAATAAAATCCATATGTCTCAGTTACTCACAAGTCAGGAGAACCGGACGAGTCGTAATGATTGTATCGAACTAGCTTATACCTCTGTCAAGCTAGCAATACTAAAATGAGCAGAATGTAGCTTATGATGGGGGAAATGAACACGAACGATTTCGAGAGACTACATTGAACTTTAATTATTCCTCACATTCTCGTGCAGACATGAGCATTAAAAAGGACACAATGTGCACATTATGCGAAAGTACTCACGATCAGATGCTGATGTCTGAGGTTTTACAATCAGATGATGTTTACGTTTCACTGCTAGTTTTCGGTCCCTGTCTCGTTTACAAAGAGACGGAAGCAAAATCAAGAAGAATAGGAATGGAAGAGTGAAAAGTTGTAAAAGGAAGGATTGTAAAGTGTCAGGCGTAAAAGTTTCGGACAAAGCTGTTCTTTATAATATTTCTCTATATTTTTCTCTATATAATTTCTCTATATATTTCTCTACATATTTTTTTCCAAAAAATAATATTTATTTATTTACTTTCGGAAGAGAAAAAGAAAAATGGAAAAATTATTTGTTTATACATTCATATATATTGATATTATGTATCTTCTTTTAAATAATATCTGCAAGTTTTCAATATTACTATCATTATTCGATTCGCTCAATTATTTCTTACCGTTACTTCTATTTGTTACTCCTAATAGATAATTAATAGATAATTATAAATTTTAAGTATTCTGTTCTTCGTGTAAAAACAATCGTTTTAGTAAATACTTTATTATCTTATTCCAAGTATTTCGTAGAGTTGGTAAAAATTTATATATAACGTCGCGAAGAATTTGTATTTGGCCACGTTCGCGAGTGATTCTTATTCAAAAGCTTTTCAGACTCTTTGTCGACCGTTTTCGTATCGGCAACGTTCTCGGTCCTTTCAATATCGTGAACAAAAAAAAAAGAAAAAAAGTGCCGTACCGCCACCGAACTTGCTCGTCCTGACGCGCAACACCTGTTGAATCATTAGCCCGTCTGCGAGCTTAACGAGAACGGCAGGTAAGTCAGTGAATGACACGGTCGTGTAGTGCGCGTTTACGAGCTGTCTAATTGGCACGCACTGGCTTTTAAAAGTGTTGTCGTCATCGTGGTTGTGATGTATGGTCGTCCGTTCCGCTTATGATTGACGTTCGTAGAATAACGGAAATATGCTACAAGGTAATCATTAACCGAATCTAATCGTAATAAAAATGTCTAGCTTGCAATGGAAGCTGCTAAAGACATTTTAAACATCTTAAAGATTTGTATGTAAGGATCGTCACAAAAAAAATAACATAAGCTGCATAACCACAGCATAAAGCTGCTGGACCAATGAGTATCTTATGTAAATCGATATGGCGTTTTTATATTGGATGTTCATTGGTCCAGCGGCTTTATGCTGTGATTATGCAACTCGTGTCATTTCGTGTGTGATGGCCCTAACTCTGTTTATTCAAAAGTGACAGATGAAGTCGCATCTTTGATCATGAAATGATATGTTCAAATATAAGTCTCTTGAGTAATCACTGCGGCTATTAGATCGTGACGTCATAAGCGAGAAATGACACGTTGAAGTTTCTTGCATGCTGTTTGTAAATAAAAAGAATTTAGGTAAAAAAATAACGAGACGAGTTTTAAAACATTTGTAAAATAGACTGAAGCTATCTTCACCTCTCTGACAGTCAGTAATTAGTTGTAAAAGGCACTTAAAGTGAAAATAGGTTATGCATATATTATAAGTAGTAAGCGCTGATGAACGAACTTCACGTTTTTTACAATTGTTTTAAAGCGACTCATTATTTTGTTTCACTCAAATTCTCTTTATTTAGAAATGGCATGTAAAAAATTTCAGTGTATCTATATATTCCTCGTGTATGACGTTACGATCCCATATGACCGCGGTGACTACTCATGAGTCTTAAAGAGTTCATCGGTTTTTTAAAAATAACATCCATAATAAACTATTGAAAACTTGTCCAAGCGTGACATATTTATTATGCAAAAGAAAAGCTTATTTTTGATAGATTTATTATTGCAGTTTAGTTTTTTACTCGGCTACACATACTAATTTTAGGTATCGTTATATGTGGTCATCCCTCTTTACTCTTTCTTACCCTCTTTCTAGCAAGCAGCGTGTGAGAAACTTGACTGTTTCGATTCTCCTAACAATTTCCGAGATAGTTGGGGAAGTT